CTAGTATAAACAGATGAAGCTTGGGGTATGACTGTGACTCAGTTTCCTTAACTGTTAAGTGAGGATGAGTACCAATTCTTGTCTCTCTGTATATTTGAGCAACAGAGACATTACATTCCAGGGTCTGTTTAGAAAACAGTGAGTGTGTTGCCTTTCTGGTGTGGGAATGGTCCTTACTGGAGCAACGAATGAAGCAGAGAGACTGTGGAGGGTGCACAGCTTGAAGCCAGCACCTAGCAGTGATGCTCTCCTTGTCTATGGGACAGCTGGGCGAACACCCATCTAGGCTGCAGACCTCTGTCAGACTGGGGTCTTGGTTCCTTTTTTTTTTTTAAACAAAAATTTAAGTTTTATTTGACATGTGTGGATGCCTTGCCTGAATATACATTTGTGCCCTGGATTCTCGTGGTGCCTGTGGAGGACAGAAACAGGCATTGGATCCCCTGAGCCGGAGTTATAGCTTGAATCCAGGTCCCCTGCAAGAGCAGTCAGTGCTGTTAACCATTGAGCCACCTCTTTCTCTGATTTAGATTTTTAAGATTTCTTTTTATTTATGTTTATGAATGTGTCTGTGAGAGTATATGTAACACTTATAGAACTACACAGGAGAACCTCCTGAGCCTTGACCTGCTTTCCATCTTCCCAAAGACCACCTTTGACATCTGCCCCTCTTTGTGTGAATTTTGAGACCCAGAAGTGCTGCTGGCCTCACGCTCATCAATCGCATGCTGTGCCCAGATGCTGGCAATCCAGGGCTGAGCCATGCTTGCAGAAACTTGTTGGAGGCTGGATTAGGATCTTGGCTTTCCATTCCTCATTCAGGCCCCCATGCCTTGGTAAGACTATATTATTTTCTTAGCTCAAATTGCCATTTCCAACTCATTATTTCTCTATGACGAGAAAACAATATTGGCTCTTATGTAATAGCAACCTCAATGAATCTGGAAGCGATCATGGAATGGGTGGATTTTTTCCCTCTTAAAAAAAAAGAGAGGGAGAGAAATAAATTTGAGATTGTTTGCATATGGCTGAGAATATTTATGAACTCTTCCCCTTTTTTCTCATTGCATATTTTACCCAGCACATTTGTGTGTCATACAGAATAAATCTTTATGAGGAGCAGAGGCAGAGAGGGAAATAGAGCAATTAAAAGTCTGGGTATCCATCAAGTTCATGGGACATTAGCCATCATGGGTCGCTGGATGCTATAGCCTGTCTGAGGTTAGTTCAGCTAGCATCTCTGAGGAAGTATTTCAGAGGTAAGATTTCAAACACACACACACACACACACACACACACACACACACACACACACACAC